ATTCACGGCAAATTATATGAATTTTCAGGTTCCCCGCCAAGTTGAAATTGTGGATGATGTCCTCAGCCGGCACCAAATAAAACACGGGCGACGCAATTCCGCGTTTCATTCAGTCCTAGCTCCAGTGAGTCCGCAGGAAACTTGAGAATGAGAAGAAAAAATTCGAAGCAGGGCGAAATCGGGCGCAGGGAGTCGAACACCAGTCTGCGGGCTACGCCGTCGTTGTACACAATGAAATCCAGCGGTATTCCGTATACGACACCCGAGCAATTACCCGGGAAAAATGGAAAAAAAGAGGAAAAGTTACTGTGCAGCGGGGAGTCGAACGAGTCCACGCCATTTTCGTCACTTTGTCACTTTGCTTAAGTGTGTGAGTTTCATGAGAACTTGTGAAAGTTCGTCACTTGGCATGTTTTTGGGAAAGTTCGTGAGTTGTTTGTTACACGGCAACTCCTCGGCGTATCACGAAGTGATGGGTATCAGCCGTGTGCCGAGCGTGGCCGGTTAGGCTTGGGTTAGGTGGTTAGGTGGTTAGAGATTTGGGTTAGGTGGTTAGGGTGGTTAGGGGTTAGAGGTTAGGGGTTATTGGTTAGTGTTAGGGGTTAGCGTTAGTGGTTAGCATTGGGGTAAGGATCTATATGAAAAGAACAAGGAGGGACTTGAGCCGGCGGCAAATGATGGCCGCATTGATGTTTTTGATTTGAATACTCACGACCTTTCCCAGAAAGTCACCGAAGTCACGACCTTTCACAATTTTCCATCAAAGTCACGAAGATCCCCGAGCTTAAGCGAACTTAAGCGAAGTGACGAAGTGACGAAGGTGGGTACTACTCGAGTCGAACCCCGGTCTGCGGGCTAACGTGTCCTGCAAGTTGGCCACATAACGAAACCCGCGGTATTCCATATACCACACCCAAGTACCTACCCTCTTTATCAAGTGGGTGAGATTTGCGCAAGGACTTGACTGAGAAAAAAGGTTGGATAACAACGGACAATTCGGGTGCGGCGGTCTGCGGGCTCCCAATTTCCTGCTGAGGTTCAGTCACGATCAAGGCAGGGCCGCGGTGTTCCGTACACCACACCCGAGTACATGGCCTGTTCATTCCTCTCCTAAGTGTGTGAGATTTGCGCAGGGACAGCGAGAAAAAAGGACTGATCAAGGCCATTCGGGCGCGGGGAGTCGAACCCCGGTCTGCGGGCTGCCACATTGGCCAATAACCAAAAGAGGCGCGCAGTTTTCCGTACACCACACCCGAGTATTTCCCTTGTTCCTCCCTCCATCAGGTCAGTGTGCACCCACATTGTTTGAAGCAAGGCGAAAGGTCTCACGAGTTGAAATCCAGCTTCCCCGCCAAGCCCAACTGTTGATGATGTCCTCAGCCTGCACACAATTGGAATGGAATGCGTGCCGCGTCCCATTCAGGGTATGTACATACATTCCTAGCTCCAGTGAGTCTGGAGGGAATTTCGGAATGAGAAGAAAAGGTCGAAGCAGCCAAGTCGGGCGTGGGGCACCTATAGTGCCCAATTACTGCCTCTAACTAGAGGGGGATCAGGTAATTAGCAGTGGGCGGCTCTAGGACGTTAAATAGCGATATTTAAATACCTCTTAAATAAAGCTTTAGAGGTGATTAGAGATAGAGGCCATCCATCATTCCATCAATCAAAGATAAAGTGCCATCGGGGCGATTAGACGAGATAACTACGCCGTCAATCAATCAAAGATAGCGCGCCATCTCCACGCCGCGGCATCAGCCGTGCGCCATCAGCCGCGCGCCATCAATACCATCAGCATGCCCGCCGCTGCACCGTAAGTCGGTGCCGCCGCGCGCAATAACATCGGGAAAATAAAGCGCGTCATCTCCGTGCTGCGGCATCAGCCGCCCGCCATCAATACCATCAGCACTCCCTCCACTGCACCATAAATTGGCGCCGCCGTGCGCAATAACTCACGTAAAATCAGGAAAATACATAATGTAATACAAAGAGGTCGAAAATATGGAGGAAAAAACCTACAAGTCGGTATTAGCGCCGTCGGCGCCATGCGCGCCATCGTCCGTGATGCGCATAATGTGCGTGAGGGCCTTGGCCAGCGCCTCCGGATCCTCCGGATCCAAATTCTCGTCCTTGTCCTCCTCCGTGCCAGCTGCAGGCAGTGCCGCACGTGCCACCATGCCCACACCAACTCCAAGCATCTCCACCTCCCCATCTGCCGATTCCTGCACATCCCGCTCCCGCGTCACGCTAACACCGGAGTTGGTGCATCCCGTGAAGCCCTCCACGTGGCTCAGCTTTATCAGGTGGGCCTGCTGCTGGTCGTCGAAGCGCCCTCGCTCCATCCGGTGCAGGCCCACCTGATGCGCCAAGCCCGCATCGCCCTCCGATCGAAGGCGCTCCTCGTGGTGGAGGAGAAACACGTTCTCGTCGTGCATGTAGGTAGCGAGCCTCCGTATCTCAATGTTAAGCTGGGTGACCTCCTCGTCGGCGTGCAGCAGCTTGTAATGCTGGTCCATGGCCGCCCGCCCCGACAGCAAGGCCCAGGGCTCCTCCCGAATATCTTCACACCCATCCCGCAGCAAGTCGAAGTCAGAGAGGAAGGCATAGCGAATTACTTCCTCCCACGAGAGCGGCGAAACCATGGCGTTGGCCACGAGGTTGTACCTCTCGATGGCGGACTTGATGGCCTTTGAGCGCACCTGCAGCGCCTTCGCGATATGCTTCCGGAGTTTGTACCCTGCAGATGTCTCAGTTCACTGACGTCCTCAGAAGCTATTGAATGGAAACGCACCGGTGCCTGCCAAGTTAACCTTGCAAAGCTCAAATATTCGTGCCACAATGAGGCCCTCTAAATTGTTGAGTGCACGTTGGTAGCGGCATTTTTCGACCATTGACGCCGTCGCCTGCCACTTCTCATCCCCTCACTCCCAACAGTCCGTGTCGAGGCGCTTCTCCAGGTCCTGCATAGCCTCAAGCGTCTTGGACACTAGCTCAAGTGCATGCCGTCGCTGCATCTCGATTGTGCGCGTCGCTCATGCTGCTCGCTGGTAACCTGCTGCATGTGTTGGCGGCGGGAAGTTGGGGAGTGGGAGCTGGAGGATGTCGCGCAGCCGTTCCCTAAACATTTGGGTCAGTATCACGTGCGAGTTGAGGCAAAAGGAGACTTACTCATAGTCCAGGAGGTTTAACAGTTTCTGGTAATACTCCGTCTCCAAAGTCTCCTGCGGTGGCTCTTTCGAGAGCGTCCGGAGAAAGGCCTTCTCCTTCGCAAGCCACGTCTCAAACACCCCGCGGTCCACGACGCCGAGCCACACCATAGTCTCGCGCAACGCTGGCAGAGTCGCCTTTGTTCATAGAGCGCGGCGATATTTCGTGGCGAGGAGCTGAGCTGCGGTGGACTGGTAAGTAACAGGGATGGTGATATAGGAGGCAGACAACATAACAAGGCCTTGGTAGGCATCGAACGTGTCGCTGTGCTTCATGTATGTTGTGATCGCTTGCTGGCGATGAAAGCCGGTGGCATAGCGGTTGAATGAGACGCGCGGTGTCCTTTACACCACACCCGAGTACCTGCCCTCCTTATCCCTCCATGAAGTACGCAGATTTTTGCAAGGTCTTGACCCAGAGAAAAAGGTTGGATGGTAACTGTTTATTCAGGCACGGGGAGTCGAACCCCGGTCTGCGCACTAAACTAGGATTGGGCTTTCATCGAATGAAACGCGTGGTGTCTCGTACACCACACCCGAGTACCTACCTTCTTTATCTTTTGGTCAAGTGGCCAGATTTGTACAATGAATCGGCCGAGCAGGAGAAAAAACCAAGAACCCTGGTCTGTCCGCCACCCTCTTCACTACTTGCTCTGTTGATTTCTCTGTCAAGTACGGTGATTTGCCACAGCAAAAGGAAAAAAAGAATAGCGAGGCCGGTAATTATTCGGGCGCGGGGAGTCGAACTCCGGTCTGCGGGCTAGGATCTCGTCCAGCCAGAAAGACCCGCGGTGTCCCGTACACCACACCCTATTAATTACCCTGTTCATCCCTCTATCAAGTACACAGATATATGTGCAAAGACATGGTTGAGAAAAAGAGGTCAGATGGTACACTACCATTCGGGTGCGGGGAGTCGAACACCGGTCTGCAGGCTGCCAATTCCCTTCAAGCGATGAAGGCGCACAGTGTCCCGTCCACCAGGCCCCGTCCACCAGGCCCGAGTATTTACCCTGTTTATCCATCTATCAAGTGAGTGAGATTTTGTGCAACGTAGAAAAGGTTTGGACGCAGTGGGAAGTCGGGCACGGGGAGTGGAACCCCGGTCTGCGGGCTGTCTACTTTCTCCTCATCATGGAAAGGAGGCCCGTGGTGCTCTGTACACCACACCCGAGTATTTACCCAGTTTATTTCTTGGTCAAGTGGGCAAATCTTGCCCTGAACCTTAACAAACGACAAGAAAAAGGATACAGAGGATACATTCGGGCGCGGGGAATCGAACCCCGGTCTGCGGGTTGCCAACTTCGACAATATTGAAGGAAGGCGCGCAGTGTGCCGTACACCACACCCGAGTATTTACCCAGTTTATCTCTTGGTCAAGTGGGCAGATCTTGCCACAACCGACAAGAAAAAGGATACAGAGGATATATTCGGGCACGGGGAGTCGAGCCCCGGTCTGTGCGCTACCGTTCATACTGCATGACAAAAGCCTGCGCTGTTCCGTACACCACACCCTAGTACCTCCCCTTTTCATTCTCCCGTAGAGTGAGTAGAATTTTTATCAGGACTTGCCTAAGAAAAAAGATGGGGACGGGACGTACGATTCGGACGCGGGGAGTCGAACCCCGTCTGCGCGCTACTTACACTTCTCTACCGATAAGGAAGCCGTCAGTGTTCCGTAAACCACACTCGAGTGCCTACCCTCTTTCTTACTCGGTCAAGTACGCAAAGTTGCACAAGGCCTTGGTTGGGAAATAAAAAAGTGGATGAAACTGGATCTGGATGAAACTGGATCTATTCAGGCGCGGGGAGTCGAACCCCGGTCTGCGGCTCCGCTGTTCGTTATATTGAAAGAAGCCAGCGGTGTTCCGTAAGCCACACCCGATCATATGAGGCGTGAGGTACTCTACCAAGCGCGCAGACTTGTGGTGGAGACAGAAAAACTTTCATGAACAACATCGAACCTCGGTCTACGGGCTATGGCGGTCCGGATGCATTTTTATTCCCGCGCAAAAGTTTTACGTCCCCGCCCCTAAAACTCGATGTTTTCCGGTCTCCCGGGCTAAAAACAGCCACCCCTATGGGGCAGTTTTTGATGCGCGCAACTCGAACTTCCGCGCAAAATAAATTTGACCCCTGCGCAAGATAAAGTCAAGTCCCGCGCAACAAAAACACAATTTCCCCTTGATTTCCCCTTAACAAAACAGAGAAAAAGATATGGTGTAAGACACAAGGCTTCCTTTTGGACGAGCAGGGATTGATTCGTGATGCTTCCCACGGTTCAGGTTACTCACCTTCGTCGTAGAATCCCGAACAAAAAACAGCTACTGAACAGTCTTGCCTATCTCCACCAACTGAGCTGACCCGCAGGTGACTAAGTGGCAATCAAGGTCCGGTGGGCCTGTAAAAGTGCGTGAACAGCGGTACATATCAGCATGGAAGAAGCATTTTTATCTTACAATAGCGTTGAATCCAATGCCCGTTAACTTGCCAGAGCTTGGGTAAAGTGAAGCACCTTTTCCACCAGGTGCCATTATTAATGAACCACCCTTCAATGAAGAATGTGAAAGACCCATTCGGTATTCGGCTAGAAATTATACCGCCAAGGCGGACTGCTCACATCAATGCTGGATCTGGTAATAAAAATCCAGCTTTGGCTGAATCAACGGTGCTGCTCTGTCGACTAACACAATAGGATGAAGCAGGTACTTCAGAGAGGTTCTTAGGGTTGAACAATTTAAATCAGACCTCAATGCAGCTGTTTGGATTAGAGTTGCAAATCAAACAAGTGCACTGAAGTGTTGGAGGCCCATAAGAGACAGGAAATAGGAGGGTGACTGACTGTGCACCGAAACTCCGAATGATGGTGAAGCTGAAATGCCGAAGTTGTGGCTGCACTTATACTTTGGGTAACTGAATGTGCATCACTATGATCCCTTCAAGTAAGGTGAAGAAGCTGCAGTCCATGCAGGAGGACCTGCTATCTAATTGGGTACATGCAAATAGTAAGTGGACTGCTGAGTACTGACCGGTGGAAGGCCAGAATACAGAGAAGTTGAAGGAGACTCTGAGAGCCATTGATATTGTCTTTGGGGTGGGATTAAACCTGAAGTTGAAAGTGGAAGACCTAGACATACCTGCTTACTTTAGAACCTCTTGAGCAAGAATTATGAAGCCATCTGCATAATTACTATAAATCAGCACCCGATATTGACTTTGAAGAGCAAAGGGAATCTAAAGTCTTTGTGAGAGGCTCTCACAGGAAGGATAACCAAATAATCTGAGCTGGAATACTGGGAAGATATGCAGAAATTATTTACAATAACTTCTGCATATCTGTGGACCCAGGGCAGAGAAAGCATTCAAAAGACACTGCAAAGATATTCTAATCTAAGAATATCTTCTGAATGCCTTCAGCGTCTTTTGAATAATTCCAAGGCCAAGATATGCGAAAGTTATTATAAATACTTTTCCAATATCTTTTCCCTATTTTGACCTGGGTTATCTGGTTATCCTCCCTGTGTCTAGAGTCAGGAGGTGCACATCCACGGCCCAAGCAATGGAAAACTAAACAGCACTTACATGCTGGGGGGTTTTGTCCTGGTTGAAGGAGAGTCATGCCATAACTGGCAGATTCACATGGGCTACTGGAATGTGTAAGAAAAATGGTTCAACAAGATCAGCATATTGTGCTTGTGCAACTTAAAAGCCAAGGTTCTGAGATACACATCATCAAGACCATGACGGTAGTGTAATAGCCACCAGAAACCGCCGCAGTCGGGATCTCATGACGGAGGGCAGTAAATTCCGGTGGGACCTGGCCCCGTAGGTTCAACTTGTTTCTTTTGCGCAGAGACAATTTGTGTTTTTTTTTTTTGCGCAGGACTTGACTTTATCTTGCGCGGGGGTGGAGTGTATTTTGCGCGGAGGTTCGAGCTGCACGCATCAAAAAACTGATACCGAGTTTTAGGGGCGGGGACGTAAAACTTTTGCGCGGGAATAAAAGTGCATCCGGACCGCGATAACGGGCTGCCAACTTTGATAATCTCGAAGGAAGACCTGCGGTGTCTCGCACACCACACCCGAGTATTTAGCCTGTTCATCCCTCCGTCAAGTAAGTGATACTTTTCCAAAGGTCTTGGTTCAGAGAAAAAGGTTGGAAGAATCCTATACATTCGGGCGCGGGGAGTCGAACCCCGGGCTGGGGGCAACGATCTTAAAGTCTTGGTGGTAGTCAAGCCCGCAATGTTCCGTACACCACACCCGATTCCTTGCTCTGTTTCGTCCTCTTCCAAGTGCGGTGATTTGCCACAGCAAAAGGAAACAAAAATAAATGGCGAGGCCGGGAATTATTCGGGCGCGGGGAGTCGAACCCCGGTCTGCGGGCTCCAATTTCATTTATGAGGCCTTCCTAGAAAAGCCCGCGGTGTCCCGTACACCACACCCGAGTAATTACCCTGTTCATCCCTCTGCCAAGTGGGGTAGATTTTTTTGGAAGGAATCGGCTGAGAAAAAAAGATGGTGGTGAAGCTCAGGATAGCGAAGAGGGGAATTCGCGGGCCGCGTGCGTGCCATGGGAGGAAGGGGGAAGAGAGGGGGGGGGAGAGATACGCTACGATACGCGCGCCCCGGACGCACGGACGCGCGAAGGCAGGTACGCGCACACGCACAGGACTTGGCTCGGCGCGGAAAGCCCGCATTCGGATTCGAGATTCAGGCCTCAGGGGCATTCGTGCGAGGCGCTCCCGCGGGCCTGAGACCCGCCCCTTTGCATGTCAGCGCGCGGGAGAGGCGACACAAGGGTGGGGACGACGTGCCAGCACGAGACGCGGAGCACGGGCATGCAGAGGTGATTTAATTGACGACGGAACGAGGGGAGGCGGGACGATGTGCGTGGGCTGCGGAGATCAGGACAATTGATAACGAAATGCGGCGAGATGGGCCGGGAGGAGATAATCTGGGGAAGCCTCGGCGCAGAATGCGCTCGGGGTCCATAGTTGCGGGGAATCAGAAGCGGAGGAACAGGCACGGAGGGCGACGTGGCCCTTTGGGATTCGGGGGGTGACGACATGGGCCTGGCTTCGGGAAATCTGATTTTCGCCGAATGGACGCCAGGTGCGGCCGCTGTGCGTTGGTGGGTTTGAAGTTGGGTTTGGAGGCGTCGTCGCGACTCGTCGCGAGTGCTCCAGCCCGGCGTTGCAGGGACGACGCGCCGTTAATTAGCGTGTCGGCAGCCACGCGGGTCCGCCTCGTAATCACGTCGACGTGTCGATCAGAATTCGACGGCGAAAAGTCGCCACGTATGCTGCGGACCGGGCCCCCGACGCCCTCCGTATCCGACGAGCGAGGCAGCGAGCACGCAGGCCGCGCTACGCCAGCGCCGTGCAGCCAGCAGTAGCGGAGAGCATATATGAGCCCACTTGGAGGCGACGGAGGATGGTACGAGTGTCAATTAATTATAATTTTACCCACGCGATCTGCGGCTGGCAAGGATACGAGATACAACCGGATCAACGCCTGCCGACCAGGGTATATGAGCCAGCCCCACAGCTTGTCGCCGCACGCTCGCCGTCTCTGTGCCCCCCTCACCCGCGACACAGTCCTTGCCTCGAGATGTTCATCCTCCCGGCCCCCGCGCACGTCCCCGAGCTCGCCGCCTTCCCGCGCCTGCCCGCCCTCTGGCTCGCACCCCTCGTGTGCTTCGCCGCGGGTGTCCTCCTCGTCGCCGCCCGCGCCTTCCTCGCACAGCGCCCGCTCGCCCTCCCCGTCAGCGCCAAGCAGCAGCGCGGCCTCGTGGAGAAGCCCGTGTCCCCGCAGCCCACGCCCACGTCAGCGCAGCCCAAGGCCGCGTGGCTCCCGACCCTCGCCTTCGAGACGCTCCCCTCCGCGCCCCCGCGCACGAGCACCCCCGTCGCCCGCGCCGGCCCCCTCCGCCGCCCTGCCCCCGCCGCCCGGCCCCGCGTCGAGGCGCCCCGTACGTCCCCCCGCTCCCACGCGGAGATCTGAAACTGATGTAATGATGGATGCAGTACCGGCGCTGTACGCGTGCGCCCCGGCGTCGATGGCGAAGATGATCATGAGCCGCCATGTGAGCCTGCCTTCCTCATTCTGCCTCCCTTCCTTCAATGCTCCCTCGCTTTCCTCCTCCTGTGGCGTGGCGTGTCACCCGCTACGCCCCGTTGCCCTCCGCTCAATACCCACCTCCATTGTCCCCTCCGCTTGCGCGCCACACCCTTATCGCTGCCGCTCTCCACCCGCCTGTCGATGCCTAACTCCACCGCCGCCCCCATCTCATCTGTCCCCGATCCCATCTGCATCTCCGCATCACTGCCATCCCCATCCCATCCCCTTCCGTCCGACATGGCCGTAGCGCCCCCTCTTATCTCTTCTGTCATCTCCCCCGTCTCCTATCTCTTTCACTGACACCCCCGCAGACCTACCGCCGCCCCTCCCCGCCCGCCCCCGCCCCCTCATCATCCCCGTCATCGTCAGCACGGCGCGCCGTGACACCGCCGAGCGCCGTATGACCCCCGGGGACGGGCTACAATTAAACAACTAAACTAAGACCGAGACGAGGAAAACGATACGATACTGTACGACTATCTATGATACCGCGCGGCGCCGACGCCGGTGCTGCGTTGCGTTGCGTGCGCCGTGGTGTGCGCCGCGGCTGTGGAGGGTGCGTGGAGCCGTTGATGGGCTGGGTGCGGGGAGGGGAGCGGCGGGGTGTGCGTTTGGCGTAGAAGTAGGAGGAGGAGGAGCCGGCGCCGTGCGGAGCGCGCACGGGGCGTCGAAGAGAAGAGACGGGTGGTTGTGGACGGACCTTACGCTATTCTTATCCATTTTGTTGCCTATTGCTTTATTGCGTGCCTGCTATTTGCTTTTTTGAATTTGCTGCGTTTCGTTGTGTGCGTTTTGTGTCGAGTTTGAGGCGGGAGGTAAAAAGGGGGGGAAGAGGTCCGAGACGCCGCGCGCCTGCTCCGCCCACATGTGTGCGTTTTCGCATCTTTTTCTCTTTCGTAGCCGCTGGCAAATGCGAAGTATCTTCCTTACTCACTTGGCAAAGATATGAACAGGATACATGCTGAGTCATGCTCGGGTGTGGTGTACGGAACACCGCGGGTCTTCTTGCAATATCACCGGGGAGACAGCATAGCCCGCAGCCCGGGGTTCGACTCCCCGCGCCCGACTTATTCTCATTGCGTCCAATGCTTTTTTGTTTCCCAGCTTGTCCTCTTGCAAAATTTCACGCACTAGATAGAGGGATAAACAGGCTAGGTACTCGGGCGTGGTGTACGGAACACCGCGGGTCACAATGTTTGCCATTGCGGACTATGGCAGCACGCAGACGGGGTTCGACTCCCCGCGCCCGAATGCCGTGTGTTCCATCCATTTTCTTGTCAACAGAGTCCGTGCGCAAATGTGCTCACTAGATGGGGGGATAAGCAGGGCAAATACTCGGGTGTGGTGTACCGAACACCGCGCGCCTTCTTTAGATGATGGGAGAAGGTGAGTGGGCGCAGACCGGGGTTCGACTCCCCGCGCCCGAATACTTGTGTCCAACCAACTTTTTATTTTTCTCTGGCAAATCCTTGTTTAAATTCTATTCCACTTGACGGAGAGATAAACAGGGTAGATACTCGGGTGTGGTGTACGGAACACCGCGAGCATTCCTTCTTTGTCTACAGAAAATTTGCAGTCCGCAGACCGGGGTTCGACTCCCCCCGCCCGAATAATCGGATTTCGATGGGATTTCATCCAATTTTGGTTTGCCTGGCTAAGTTCTTGCGCAAAATCTACCGCCCTTGACGGAGGGATAGAGGGGGTAAAGTACTTGGGTGTGGTGTAGTATGGAACATCATGCGCTTTCTTTCCATGGGAAGGAGGTATGCAGTGCGCAGACCGGGGTTCGACTCCCCGCGCCCGACTTCGTGTTCAACTTCTTCTATTTTTCATCTTTTCCCTGGCCGAGTCCTTCAGACAACCTCGCTCCCTAGATAAAGAGAAGAACAGGTCAATTACTCGGGTGTGGTGTACGGGACATCGCGGGCTTTTCCAAGACCTTCTGCGAAAATTGCAGCCCGCAGACCGGGGTTAGACTCCCCGCGCCACTGTGTGTTCCATCCTTTTTCTTGTCAACAGAGTCCTTGCGCAAATGTGCTCACTAGATGGAGGGATAGACAGGTTAAATACTCGGGTGTGGTGTACGGAACACCGCGGGCCTTCTTTTACGGTCGTAGCAAATTGGCAGCCCGTAGACCGGGGTTCGACTCCCCGCGCCCGAATACATGCACTCTCTCTTTTCTTTTCCAGGGCAAGCCTTGCGCAGATCCGCCCACTACATAGACGGATACAGAGGACAATTACTCGGGCGTGGCGTACAGAACACCGCGCGCCTTCTTTAGACGATGAGAAGGTACATAAGTAGGACGCAGACCGGGGTTCGACTCCCCGCGCCCGAATGATGGTGGTGTATGAGCCAACTTTTTATTTTTCTCCGGCAAATCCTTCTACTCCACTTGACGGAGAGATAAACAGGGTAGATACTCGGGTGTGGTGTATGGAACACCGCCGGCTTTCATAGGTTTTAGTACGAATGGCAGCACGTAGACCGCCTGCAGACCTGCCCAAGACCACCCGGGACTTGGTCGGCACTCCTGAATCCGCTCTGTGCTCGTACAGACCTTCAAGCGGTATGTTTTCTTTCTGGTGCTCGGCTTCGAGCTTTCAAGTTAAGTCGCCTGTCGCCCATCTCGGACTTCTACATCGCAGCCTTTCTCAAGACTCAAGTCAAACTATGAATTCAAAAATAGCCTGCGGGCTAGTCTCTCCGAGTCTTGACAAACTTTCTCTCGTGCCTCGTTCTGAATACGGGCAGTTCACTGAGGGGTGGTTGCGGTTGGCCGCCGTCCTCGAAACATCGCGTTCTCTGAGTCCCTTGGTGATTCAAAAGCTGATGTTAACTGTAAAGAAGACCTACACCCGCCATTTTGACTCATTCTGAGTCGGTATCAAAAGAATCTCATGCTCAACATACGAGGCAGTATAGGGTATCACAACTCACAGGACCCGTCGGGGGGCACTCGGCCCACTGCATCAGGAATTGATTCAATACTGTCCCACGGGTGACACAACGACAGATGGTGACTCCCCCCATTCAATCCCGATCCTCCGACCTGATGTGAAAGATTGGCGCCAGCCCAGAGAAATTTTCGAACATACAAAAGCCCAAGCCACCCTTTCGTTTTTTCAGCCCTTCCTTTCCTTCGTGCTCGCCTCTTTGTTTCGTTTCTGCCGTTTGTTTCCTTCCCTGATTTATCTTGAACCTTTTCTTGAACCTTTATCCTGGCTGATATGATGATGAAATTCATTTCCTTTGGTTTGACAGCTGCAGCTGGGCTGACGGTTGTGGCCGCTGCTAGCACTCCCCGCGCGGAGCTCACATCAATTTTTCTTTTTCTTTCCTTTTGCTCCCAAGCTGACAAATATCGACGCTAGCAGCGCCTGTGGAAGCGCCATCACCTCTGTGCTTTCCTCGCCGGACCCAGGGTTCCAATAGGGGGAGTCAAAGCGGTCAGGCTGCACCGATTCTCGGCCGATTCTGATTTCGATTTTGATGTCGATTCCGATGTTGAGAATCGGTCGAGAATCGGTCGAAAATCGGTGTCATTCCAGAATCGCCGTGATGGCGGTCGCGCACGACGTCCCCCATTCATTATGCCTCTTTCCGCGAATAACCAACATGCCTCTGTCAGTGTCTGCATTGTGAATACTACAATATCGGGTGCTGTCTGCTATAACTCTGGACGCATCGGCGGTGCGTCTCAGCTAACTGAGCACTTCGTAGAAGTTCGCTGCCCAAAATTTGTCGACCGGATCCGCTTCTGTGAGGCCGACACGTCCCCAATGGTGTGCATGCCACATCGGCCCGAAAAGATGGTGGGGGAAGCAGCGCTGCCAGGATAGCCATCTGGCCTCGTGTAATAGATCTTGTCGTCTGTGACGCAATATTGCTTGCAGAGCGAAGGTTAATGAAAATGATTGAAATAGAATCGGGTTCAAATACTGGAAATCCCAATATAGTACCAGCTAATGACAGTCACCAAGCAGTCTTACTTTGAACGCGGAGCTTCAAGGCGGTAAGATTTGAGATAAATCGTCAACTTGCGACTGCGAACCTAGCTTTAAAGGCAAGCGTAATTGCGTTACCTTCACAGCGAAAATTGACCGGTTTCGGGGCGACCGAAAATGAATCTGAAACCTATTATTTCAGTAATCAGGTCACGTGAATTCCCATATAAGGAAATTCACGTGACTCGGCTACTGAAACAATAGGTTTCAGATTCATTTTCGGCCGCACGTAAACCGGTCAACTTCCGCTGTGCTTATTGCTGGTTGTGATATGAATGCTTAATGAGCTTATAGCGTCACCGAATTCACACACAATTGGAGGGGACAGCGGTCTTAGTGACGCTAATGTAGGATGCAGCAGGTATGTGGGTGGTAAAGAGTGATTCTCATTTGCAGGCCAAGAGACCTCAATTTATACAAAGGGACTATCTAGAATATTCTCAGACGCTCCACAAGGCACAGGAACATATGACTCGAATTGACTGTGCAACGGGCTGCGCGACGCATGCCCGAGATGAGGCCGAGGACTCGTGATGTCATGCCCGAGGTGCCCGAAATACTACAGTGATCGTGAGACGGAGAGTGCTTGCACTGCAGGAGAGGGAGATTTTTTTTATTTCAAAAAATACTTCAAAACATGTTTGCTCTTTCGAATCTACACTATATCAACAAAAAGAATGACACATGCTTCTTTTGACTATATTAAGGGTTAGGCAATAAATTTACAGGAAATTACATCCGAGGGTCTTCAGGAAGTGCAGGCGGGAATATTGGGATGAGTGATGCGATCAAAACACCTTTGATGCGCCGTCAGGCGGGTCAAGAAGGAAAACGCCGAAATCCCTCGTTGGCTATGCACTTTTTCGGAGGGCCCGAGTCATCCAAATGAAAGCCAGGAATGTTCCTATTGACTTCTCCCTTTGAGCCGAACCGAAATATACAGGGGATAAGGAGCTACAGTGCCAGCAAAACCGCAAGTTTAGAGTATTTTTGGTCCAATTTGGGCACTTTTTTTTGCACTTTTTGGCCATTTTGCGGCGTCAATGTCAATAGCACCCTATTGCCCGTATATTTTTGCTCCATTGAAGCTGTGGGATGGCATGATATGGCATGCCCTTCAATTTGGGTGGTTCAAATTTCATGGAAAAAAATCAGAGCCCAAACTCTAGATTCGGATATTGGCCTTTTTTCGGTTTTGACCGCCACCCATGCCACATCAATATTATTCGATCTCGGTATTGACCCAAAGTTGTCGATTAGGTCCCCCGCTACCATCTCACTCTTTGCTTCATGCGAAAACATGCACTCAATCCTGAGATATGGGCGAAACAATCATGTGACATTCTTTTTGTTGATACAGTGTAATGTTTCCAATTTGGGCCAAGGAGATACAGAAGAAATTATCTTTTGTGTTCTTCTTTGTCCACAAAGACAATTTCTATTTCTATATCTATAAGATGTTGGAAGATGACTTCAGCTTCTCTGTCTATTTCAATTGGAAACACATGTTCTGGCTGTAGTCGAAACATCAACTGGGCTCTAACGAGACAAAGGGATTGTATGTTTCAACTGCAAACATAACTTGTGTTTCCAGTTGAAACAGATAATAAAGCAGAAATTACTTTTCGAGATTTTGTTAACATGGGAATATAACTCGTCTTTGTGGACAAAGAAGAACACGAAACATAATTTCCTCTTTATCTTCTGGGCCCAAGATGAAAAAAACATCAGATCCAAAAAAGCAAACCTGTTTTAGAGTATTTTTTGAGTGTCAAAAATTCTTCTCCCCCCGCAGTGTGGAGGCCACGTACGATTTCGGATAGAAATCACCCGATTCAATAGGGATGCGGATAAAAAGTTCGAAAATTCGGACTTTCTGGACAAGCATCTGAGGTGATTTAGCTCAAAAGTGCCCATATCCATCACACGTCGCAGAGGCATGTCGATCGCCATCTCCAGAGATAATACCTATCGACAATGTGAGTAAGGCGTGCCAGTTTTATTTGTAGGCTTTCGTGCGTTCCACAACGATCTTTTTCTCCACCCTCGCCTCTGGTTGACATCGACTTGAATCGTATTCAACTGGACAGCGTCCAACCTCCAGAACAGTTTGGCTGTCCTCAATTGATAAACCCCAGACAAGTGGTCAGGTTCTCCGCGTTCCCGCTAGTCTCTCGTGGACAGACACTTCAACAAAATGTCACTCCTACCTCGCGTGTTGAAGTTTGGCTTACCCCCTAACCCTAATTTGTTGATGGTGGGATCCTGTGACGTGATGTGGTGGCCGTGACCAGCCTTTCTCCCGCGACCACCATCGAGACCTTGCACAGGCGATGCATCCGGCCTTACATCTTCAAAATATCAACAAGCTTCCTATCTCCGTTCGCGTGAGTCAGCGCGCTGATTCGTTCGCCGGATGGTGAACTGTGGAACTAGAAATATGCAACGCCTGCTGCACATGGCTCCCTCGATGATCTTGGACGGCTCATTGCTTTAATATCACATTCGCCCAATCCAAGTCAGAGATACCTGGCGGTTCTCCCCGTCTTCTTCATAAATCTCGATCCCTCAGGGATCCCAACCGGAGCCGACCCCGCCGATACTGAAGCCGCCGCGCTGGCCATTCTCGCGCTGCAGGGCTTGTGTCTCATCGATTTCCCTACGGAGTGCGGGCGGGAACTGTGGCCAAGGTATTTTGGTTGGATGGCCTGTATACACTTCAATCGCGACTGTCTTCCCCGCGTGCCGACCGAGGCGGACCTCTGCTTGGATTTGATGACCGTCATCGGACACCTCAGCGCGGATCGCGCGACGGAACAATTGATGCATGAGACTGTCGGTGTTCGATATCTCGTCACCCGCGCCTGGTCCGTACTCTTTCAAAACGAGCACGCGCGATCATCCGGCATACTTCGCCTTGTGCGATTTTCTACATTTTCACATGAAGGCAGCGAATCCTCGCAATATCACAGAAATGTTGGAGGCTTCTGATGGTCTCTCCGGATTGGGCCTCCTGATTAAGCAGTACATCGCTTTCTTCATCGTCGACCGGCGGACGCGATTAACAATTGATGCGCTCCATATCTTGGACGGACTCCTTGAGCTATTAGCCGACCTTACGGACGACACACACGTGCGAGGCGCACTTGTGTCT